TGACTCAAGGCTCATTTATTTTCCTAGTACAGTACACAGCCTAAAAGAAGCCCTTTGTAAATCACTATTGATTAAAAGAATGGATGAGGAAATAAATAATGCACAAACAAAGGTTAGCATAAAAAAACTAGATAAGTGTCTGTTGGAAAAGAAATGCGCATACGTTGTATGTAATACTCAACAAACACAAAATACCTCATCTAAGCCAAGTTCTAGTTAAAACACTTTCTGGGTATCTCTTTTATATTCCACAATAAAGGAAAGACATTTTTACTATGTTTATGTGAAATTTTTAACACAATCAAATTTTTAAGATAAGAATGAACATTATTTGCAATGTACATGCTTTTGATCTATTATATTATTATTATTATTATTATTATTATTATTATTATTATTCCAACATGGCTGAATCTCTATAATGTTGCCTTTTCCTGTAGGTCTGCCGTGGAGTACCAACAGTTTCTTACTGTGCCCTATCACACCCCGGTCAACAAAAATTACTAAACATTAAATTAAAGTACAAGGACCAAAGGAATAACATCTATCGTGAAAGAGCTGAGAGGCTACTTGGACTGAACCTAGAAACCCAAAGCTGAACACGACTGCCTCTGCGGCCCATACAGAAGGAGAGGAGAAACATCAGCAGGGAGAGTTGGCGCAGGCAAGTGTAGTGAAATTGTGTTTACAGGAGGGAGATGAGAACGGTCACGTCTAAATGGACAGAACAGCAAGAACACAGCCGAGAGAAAGTAACACAGACTGTAGCGGGCCTGGGTGAATCCCATGGGCTACGAGCAGGCACGAACGCAGCGTGAGGGGAGCCACTGCACGGTAGGTGAAGTATTCTGGCTTATTAAAGTGAGGAGTGGCAAGCATAAAATCTGAGGGACTGCATCCGTTGAGGGTATGCGGAAGGAGACAGCAGCTCTGAGATGCCGCTGGAAGAGGCACGCCTACATCCTGGGAAGGACCAGCTCAGTTTGATGAGCGCGGTGGTCCTCACAGCAGCACTTTGTCTTCAAGCATCCCGGCTTTGTTTAAATGAGAGTTCTTGCTGCCCAAGCAATTTACGTGCAGTGTGACATTTGACCCTTCTCTGTCGCCCCTGAGAAACGGATATTCTCACCCACAAAAGATGAGGAAAGGTGGCTTTGAGAAACTAGTTTGCGCATGGTTACCCAGTTTGGGCTTTGATAGTCTGATTTCAAGTCTGTGACAGAGTCCACGCTTTGAACTCCTCCAGCTTGCTTAGTAGATTCGCAATCAGATTTCTCAGGAGCATCACGTTTAATGGGCACGCAGCACCCTGAAGGAATTTCTGGTTTGGACGTTACACTGCATCTCTTACTTATTAGCACTGAGAGTATGTGTTGACGTGCATGACTTCTGGGCATCACTAAAACCTGGGTGTCATTCACAGGAACATTCACAAGTCAGTTCTCTCCCACATACACATGTAATTGAACATATGCAATTTAGGGTTTTTTGTTGGTTTTTTTTGTGTGTGTGGGTTTTGTTTTTTGTTGTTGTTGTTGTTGTTGTTGTTGTTTTTTTGTCTCTTTTTTTTGAGACAGGGTCTTGCCATGCAGTTCAGGTTGGCTTTGAGCTCACTTTGTAGCAAACGCTGGTTTCGAACTCACAACAATCCTCCTGCCTTAGCCTCCTGAGTGCTGGCATTACAAGAATGAGCCAATAATTTAGCTTTTTGAACCCACACATAAAACTTGATGCTTATCTATCTGAAGTGGTATCCTTTGGTTTTGGTCTATTCCTCCAGACTAGAGAAATGTATTTGAATTCTGACTCTGTACGCTCACCAGTGAGCCATCTACAGAGAATAAACAAGTGACACAATCACAAAGGTATCTTCTGAGGTCTTCAGGAGACAAAACTGATCATTTCAAAAGAACTCACAGGTCACCTATCTAAATCTCCCAGGGTACATAACACATTCTTTCGGGCAGACTTGGAAAACTCCATCCCTCCTGGACAGACGTCTTAGAAGAACTAAACTCTTCCAAGAAACTCTCCCAGAGTAAGGCTGAAGGAAAAGTGCTAAGATCTCCCAACACATCCAATACTTAAAGGGAACTTCTGTGAAGAAAGCAAAACTCTGTCCTTTGAGAATACAGAAATTTCACGGAACATTCCTGATTCCATCTTCTAGACCTACCCTTGACTACTTAGACGTGACTCTAGCCTTCCAAGACCATTCCAAATGAGGAAGACCCACTTCAAACCATGTTTCTGACTTAACTGCATTTCCTATGTCACCTCAGACAAGATACCTGATTCCTATGAATCCATTTGTTGCTTAAAAGGTTAGATAAGATTGGAAAGGGAGATAAAGATGCAAGACTGTATCAGAGTTGATTATACAGTACATTCCCTGATAAGCAGAATGTCAAAGTGGTGGCAGTACACACACACCTCTGTAGAGAGAGACGCATGGTTTGGTGAGGGTGGGAGGGCAAGGGAAAGGTTTACTAGACTTTGTTTACTAGGACTTATTTGTAAGCTAAAATCGGCAATGATTCGCACTCAAGTGGGAGAGGAAAGCACCAGAGCCTGAGATAGTTTGTGGGAGGCTTGTGCAAGCCGCATCCCCCAACTTCTTATGCAGAGTCAGCATCTCTGCCACCCGGAGCCACCCTTATGGAGGCAAATGTAGCACATTTCTTTCCTTGTTCAGAAAAAGAAGTCTGAATCTACCCATTGGACTTATAAGTTGAAAGTCCCTTGCTCCATTACTGGAATCTGCTAATGGAGTCTGGCTGGAAGAATGGGCTCCTATGCTATAGATACCCACAAGCTGAATTTTGGGGCTTCAAGGGCCAAGCCTTGAGCAGTCACGTTCACTGAGGCTCAGACCAAGAACGCAAGTTAGGATTTCACACAACAGACTTACCCCAGAAACTGACTTTACTAATGTACCCTTTCTTCCTAACAAGAGCATGACCTGTCCCCTTCTCCTTGACCCTCTAACTCCCAAGGTCAGTGCTGCTTGTGTTAGGGAACTAAACAACTATTTGAGTCACACAATGGTGCTGGGAATCGAACCCAGGGCCTTGCAATATCAGGCAAACACTCATTAACACTGCACTGTATCCCCAGCCCTCCCATAGCCTTTTTGTTTGATTTTATAAAAGTGTTTTTAAACTTATATTACCAAGCATCAAAGCATAGTCATTTTAGAGGAAATAGTAAATTAGAACAGCTGGATATGTATGTGTGTGTGGGAATGCATGTACTGTTTAACCTAAAAGGTACATCAGAGCCACTGTAGATACCTGGGCTTTGCATTATTATAATCCCTGAGAGAGAATCAGCTCCAGATTTCATGTCACTGATAGATATAGCACTTAGAAAGCAAATCAAAAGTGGGGAATAATGCTATTTAAGTGTGCATATTATTGGAGTAAACAACAATCTCTACATTAATATAAACAATCTGTATAAATACTGAAAACATTACCTAAGATAATCTTTCATTTCAGCAATTTGTGTTACAATCTTATTCTTAAAATATTGTTAAATTTCTAATATATTGGATGTTGAAAGCAAACCAAGGAGCTATAAAAACAATTTATATGCAACTCTATTATTTTATTGGATTAATTTAATTTTAATATTTTAATACAGAGTCCACAAAAACAGTGTACACATTGCACGAAAAGAAAAACTTGTGTAAGGTGCACATTCTCCAGATTTAACATCTGCAGACTTTTATCTATGGGGGACCCTAAGATATCATGTATCACAGAAAACCCACTGCACTCCCGGCCCTTAGAGAAGAAACTGAAAATGCGTGTGCAGCAGTCTCATTGATCAAGATTACCCAAGCAGCAGTTTACTGTACTAATAAATGTCTGGAAGCTCCTGGCCAGCACTTTGAGCGCCTCTTATAATTGTAGAGGCCAAAGGTAACTTGTGTGACTCTCATGGTGTCTCAATAAGTTTAGAATCAAAATATTCATGCAAGTTTTTCTTTCCCTGAAGTATGTATGCATTTTTGGGCAGACTCTGTACTATAAACATAGAAAAATATAAGAGATATAACATAACAGAGACATATTTGAATCACATTCTCTTACTATATGATAGCCAGCACCATTAAATTCAATGTAGTTTTCCAAATTCACCTCCATTGTCAATGCAGCTTTTCATCATAAAAATTAGAATGTTTTCAAACCAAAAGGGAGAGATCAGTGACCGTGAGGTGCTTGTGCTCTGTAGCTCAGGTTCTGACGCCTCTTTAGGCCCATGTCATGTGGGCCGAGGGGGCTACGGCAGCACACCACCATCTAAAGAATCTGTGCAGTGTATACACCGAGCCCAAGCGTAGCGAGTTTAGTCATCTCCTCTGCTCAGTGAGCTTGGTAACTGCCTAGGATTTAATTTCTTTGGCCCAGTAGATGCTGTATGAATTATTATATGCCAGAGTTTTAAAAAATAAAACAAAAATTATATTCCCAATTTCCTCAACCCAGATATAAAAGAAAGAGACCAGAATTTGACTGCTTTGATTACAACAGGATTGAGGTATGAAATATTTACAGAAAAGCATGACATTATCTTAGCTAGGTACCTGTAATACTCAGCATGAACTTCATTTTGAAAAAAACTTACTGAAGATTTTGCTTGAAGCAGGTTAAACTAGATTTTGTTCTGTTTATTACTAAGGAAGCACTCCTGAATGAGGAGCAGAAAATAATATATCACAGTAAACATATTTCTTCCACGAAAGTGACTTAATCTGTCCTCAGAGAGTTTATGGCATCAGACACGACAATTATCTAGAAGAGAAATGCTAGAAAATCAGTTCATGCCACAGGAAATCTGAATTTCAATCCTTTCGTATATTGAATGGAGAATCACAAAGAAACAGTGCCGATGCCATAGCTGCCCCCTGATAACCAGAACTAAGGTTTGTTGGGAGAGTCAGAAGCCACCGCGTTTTTAAAACTTAAACCTAAAAACAGAAAGCCAACACTTACCAGAAAGGAGCAAGCTGACTCCGCAGAGAACTAAGCTGGCTAAAGAGTCCATGCTTTCCCCAGTCTCTCCATCCAGCATCCACAGACGTGCACGAGGTCCCAAGGATCCCTTCAGAAACCCAGAGCTTTGTGACTCTGCATTTGCATGTTCTCCCCACTCTTGTTTACAAGTCAGACACAAGAAAGAACAGCATCGAAGCGGGCTGTAGCAGTCTCATTTCTGTCTGAGCACAGGGAGTTTTAAGTTCCTTTTTCCTGTTTCCTTTGTAGATTAGGATGGGAAAGGCTGTATCTTAAAGGCATTTGGTATCAGCAGTTCTGGGGGCACTGCAAGCCTTGTCCATCTTGCAGTTTATCAAAACACTTATCTGCTGCTTCTGCTCCTGGGTCTGCTGCCGTTGTAGGGCTTGAGGGATTTTTGCTAGAAGTCTGGGTCCTGGTCAGCATTTTCAGAAACAATAGGGGTATCCTCTCATAGGCGGGGAGCTGAGAACAAGCCCTCCACCTATGTATGGTATGTGATGAGGACCAGCCCTCTCACAGCTCTCTCAGATCCGCTTGGGAGCCCTCACAGAAGGGGCTTTTGGGCGTGGGGAGCAGTTTCTGCTTTTGTTTTCTCACTATAACCCACGTGGTGTGAACTGGGGAAAGAAGTTTCCCGTGTTGAGAACACACAACCTGGAAGGCAATTAATTTGAGCATGAACCAGTGAGGTCAGTGCTCTGTGTGACCACGAGAGACTAAAGCCCTAAACTGTTAGCCTGTTTCTCACACACAGATCATCTATTTGTTGGCCATGAGCCCAAAGATATTCATGCTTTTGGCTGTAACTTTAATTTCTATGAATATTTCATCTGAGGATGATCTAACTTATTGAAATACTAGGTATAAAGATTTTAATAATGTCGATAATTTCACTACTCTTTTCAGGCATGGTGGCATATGAATATAATCCCAGCACTCTGGAGGCTGAGGGAGGATTGCCACGAGCTCAAGGCCAGCCTAGATTACATAGTGAGTCTCAAAAAAAAAAAATCCATAGTTATTGGCCAATAGTGTTTTGGAAGCAAATTATATACAAGTTTTTAACAATATATGTGTGGAAAATAAACAAAAATGTTTAGGTTAAATAAAAATAGTGTCTGTAAGAGCAGAGAAGTCCATGGGCCAAAAGGAAAAGAGGCCCTGGAGTAGTGCAGTGTAATACAAGCACAAAGACCCTAAACTCACTGAAATGATCATTTCTTCATGATATGAGTTGTGACTTTAGAATATCCTGTTTATTACCTGCTTTCCTCCCTGCAAAATAATATTTTAGCCCCTTCCCTCCCACCAGAAGAAAAATAAGATGCTGGTAATTTTAACTAATTTCTGGGCCGGGGATATAGCTCAGTGGCATAAGTGCCTGCCTGACAAGCACAAGGTCCTGAGTTCAATTCCTGGTACAAAAAAAAAAAAAACAAACAAACAACTAATTTCTGCCCCAGGTCTTATCACATCAGGGATGCTTGCTATTGTGTCCGACAGTCGAGTTGGAAAACTCCAGGATCTTTTCTTCAAGCGCACCTGACCTGCAGTCAAATACACGCTCAGGCACAAGTATTTCAAAATACACTTCTTCATTTCTTGGGAGGATTCAATGAATTTAAAAATATGTAAAAATAGTCTTGTTAGTGTGAGAAACTAAAAGAGTAAATAAGATCCAAAATATAAAATAGATATTGTGAATAGAGAAGAAACTGTTCAAAGAAAAGAAAAACTGTGATGGGAGAAAGGGGAAAGGAAGGAAGACAAAAGAAAAAATATATGTATACACACACACAAGATACTTAAGATAGTTATACAGCCAGTTTTTCATAATTCACTGCAAAGGAAGTGTTGTGCTAATACTTTTTGGACAATATTTCCTGCCTATATCTTGTACTCTGAACAGCTACTATGAATATAAGAACACACCCTGTAGTAATTATTATTACTCTCCTACTAGCCTGTTTTGAAACTCTGTTTTATTGTTACTTATTTTACTTTTTTCTGTTTAAAATTTTTAAAATATGTAAAAACATTTGGCGCTGTGCCTAGTTCATTGAAGGTTTTCATTAGATACTAATAACTTTACTTCTTTTCATTTCTCTATTCTGTTTTTGATTTAGGTCCCAAAAGTTTCTGCCAAAAAGCCACTCTCTAGTCCTGTGATACGGCTTTAAATGTGACGTTGTAACGGACGAGTCTTGAGTCTGGCATTCTAAGTCCTAGTCCCAGAAATGTCACAGTATTCCCATGGAGCCTTAGGCAAGTCATTCTCCATATCTAGTACCATTTCTCCAATTGTAAAATGAAGTGTTTATGAGGTGGGAGATTAGAGCATGGCCAGAGGGCTGGGCAAGTGGGCGTGACCTGTCCATCATGGAGTGCAAGGACACATACGCAGGAAGACCTGTACCTGGGAACCATCAAAAAGTGCTATCTTCAGTTCTGGTTCAAAATCAAGCAGGTTTTTTATAAGACAGCCTAGATCAGACATCAGCCTGATGAACAGGAGATACAAAAGACTTCTACCATTAACCTCATGTAAAACCTCTGTACCTTTTTTGTCCAATTCTTTATTCAGGACAAGAACGGAAGAATCTCTGTAAAGAGCTCACAGTACTCTACAACCCAATAATATTTTGACTGGGCTTGGCTAATTTTTCTTCTGATTCTAACATCTTGTCAGTCTTAAATGACATAAAATGTTCCCACCCTCAGATCCCCAAGTTAATTGCCGAGGTCCTTTCTTCTGGTTAGTTCAAAGAAAATGCAAGCTTCACATCTGTGTGGCTGTGAAAGCCTGGGAAGGTCATAGATGGGCTTCCTCTTAAGAATAAAGCAGCTGAGGCTTGGTGAGGTCCACCAGCCCCAAGCCACGTAGAATAGTAATGAAAGGCCTTGGACACAGACTCTAGGCCCCTCCCTCCCTAGGCACAAATTTCCTCTGCGCTTGATGGCCACTCAAGGAAGTAATCATTACTCACATGCCATCCCGTTGACTATTTCTTGTGGGCTAAAGGTGCTACCTCGCTGTCTTCTCTGAGCTGACTTCCTCTTGTTCAGAAAAGCAGTTCAGTTGCATCCCTTCTCCAATTCTTTCAGAAAGTTGTACTGTGACCCAGAAGAGTTACACAAGCTCTTCCTCCTTCCATTAGCCAGAATGGTTGATTCTATTCCATGTTTTTTTCTGAAATCCAGATATGTTTCTCGGTGTAACTTAATTCTCCACAATCTAGAAGAGGGATGTGGTTTAATTTCATCTTCCAGGGTCCATAAAGATTTCCCCATCACTAACTGGAACTGCAAAATGGAACTTTAAAAGTTACATTTGTTTTCCTTTAAAGACAAGTGACTTCTCCAAACTTCCTCAGACAGAGGGCATAAGTAGCTCCCCTACCTTGCCTCACCAGGACGAATGGACGTACAGACCCCGAGAGCAGGAGGTCAGGCAGTAGGGTATGCTTGAAAACACTCACTGGAATAAAGGATACCAAAGCCAAGTAAACATCTGCCTCTAGGAGTTGCGTAAAGAGATGAGCTGACCACTGTCCGCAGCCCAGACTCCGCGTTCTGCCTTCTGCTGTGCAGGGGACACTGAACCTCCAGAGGGGCCGCTTCTGGGTTCTCTAGGACTTTTGGGAGCTTTTTTGTAAACCTGTTGTACTTCACAGTGGCTAGCAAAGAAGGAAGGGTCATCAACAATTAAGTCCGGGCATTCAGCCAGGACACCACAATTAAAGGGGCAACACCCACTCTGGTCTGGAGTGGATGACTGTGGAAAATACCTGACCCTCCCCACACCCCACTTACACTAATCCCTCTCAGTGATTCACTTTTCCTTTCCCCTTTTTAATTTAAAACATCTAAATAGCAAGCACTGTGCTTACTGGTGTAGGAAGAGACACAATAATAGAAGACGTCGATCTGCTTTTCAAGATCACAGTTACACAAACCAAGAAACAATGCATCAAAACAGGAAAAGTTAAATAACAAAATCAGGCGTTGTACAGCTAAATGCCAGAGGGTAGTACACGGAGTAAAAGTTTTAACAGCCCTCTGCTTTGGTATCCTTTAGGCTACAAAGAATCGATCCCCATATCTTTATTCATCGCCCACCGTTTCCTTGGCACAAGTAGTATCTTTCCAGATAGCCTGAGACTGCCCCTTAAAGCAAGAGGAATACTGTGCTCTAAAGGGAAAGAGGAACTAGGATGCCTCCGCTACCACTATGAGACAAAAAGCTTCAAAAATAAAGAAAGGAAAAAGAAACTCCTATTCATTTTCAAAATACTGCACAATTCCGAGGTCAACTCATTCCATGAAAACTTTGTGTAGTGAGTAGTTATTAATACCTAACAAGTTAGCAGTGTAATACAAACAACCATTTATGTATCTCATGACCCTGTGGTCAACAGTGCAAGCTCCCCTGGACAGTTCTGATCGCAGCTGGCCTCCCCATGTGTCCACAGTCAAATGCCAGTCATTGAGGTAGCTCCGTTTCAGGCATAAGCTTACTACCTGGCATCAGGATTGATGAAACTACAAAATCTTTTCCTCTCACAAATTAGCCTGACTTCTTAATGTGGCAGGCTCAGAAGTCCAATGTAGGCCATAGGAAAATAAAAGTTCTTTTGAAGTCTGGGCTTAGAATTGGTGCACCATTATTTCTGACACATTCTATCAGCCAAATCAGTTGGCTAAGACTAGACCCAGGGTGGAAACACAGACTCTATCTTTTGATGTGAAGAGTTATAAAGTCATGATACAAAGGTAAAAATAAAATTAAATGAAAGGCACTCATCATTTTGAAAAATGTAGATTTGTTAAATATAGTCAAAATTATCATACCTCCAAAACTGATATACAGGTTTAACACAATCCTAATCAAAATACCAAGAGCATTCTTCACTGAGTTAGAGAAAACAATACTAAGATTTATAAGGAACCAGAAAAGACGCAGAATAACAAAAGCCATCTTGGGCAACAGGAACAAAGCAGGAAGCATCACAATCCCAGACATCAAGTTATATTACAAAGCTAGAGTGACAAAAACAGCATGGTACTGGCACAAAAAGACATCTGGATCAGTGGAGGAGAACAGAAGATGCAGAAATAATCCCAGACCTACTCAGCAACCTGACATTTGAGAAAGGACTAAAAGCAGGCACTGGAGGAAATGTAGCTTCTTTAGCAAATGGTGCTGGGAAAACTGACTGTCCCCATGCAGAAGATTGAATCTACACTCACGTATTTTACCATGTACTAACTTAAAATGGAAGTGGATCAAAATGTAAATATTAAAACAGAAATAATCTGCTGGAAGATACAATAAATAAAACTCTGAAGACATAGGCCTAGCGAGAACTTTCTTAATAGAACTCCAGTTGCACAAGAAATAACATCAAGAAGCAATAATTTTTTTATTTTAAAGAGAAAAAAATGACAAAGAATTTCTGAACAACATAATATGAAATTAGCAATGGTTATTATATTGTACATTGTTACCTTCAAAGTAGTTGCTCAGATTACCAGATACAGGCATGCAAAATTGATCA